AAAAAAAAAAAAAAATCAAAACTAAAAACGGATTGTGAGAATCCGTTTTTCAATTAAAAATTTAATTAGAAAAACGGATTCTGAAAATCCGGCTGTTTGACCCATTTCCACAACTTTTTTTTTTTTGTTTTTTTCCACAGATTTTTGCTTTTTTTTTAAATAAATAATGCACCCTACAGATACTACTTGATCCAAATAATTGCAACAAACTTCTTTTTTCGGGTTCGAGACAAGCCACCATTTTAAAAAATCAGAGTTCCAAACAGATAAATGCAGGAAGGAATGAAGGATGCAATGACAATCATTAAACAAGATAAAATAAAAGAATTTGAACTAACGTTGCAATTATAAGCTTGCCGGGAATAAAAGGAAACTTCCGGGGAAGAGAAGGGCGCATGAGCGGCGAGCCCGTTCAGATTTAAGCTCGTTGCTTCGAACTTGAGGAGGAACTCATCCTTACTAGGAGTCTGGAACCAGAACTTCTATTGAATTCCGACACCTATTGAAGAATCTTCTAGATGGGCCGGAGGATTAAATTAACTATGGATGCTTAGATATTTTACAAGTGGTACATTTAAGATTATTTAAATATTAGTATAGTAATAGACATTCCAGACAATTGTAAAATTGTCTACATGATTTAACGGGCACCAACTCAATATACTATAAATATGTCATTTTGAGTGTATGTTTGAGAGAAACATTATTAATGTATTTGAAAGAAAGTGACTGTATCAATAAAATAGCTAAAGTATTTTGGTCTTGATAAATATTGAATTATGGTCATACTGTGTTAGTGTAATTAGTGTATATAGTTAAAGAATAGGAATTACAAAATCAGACTAATAACTACACTCAAAGTCATATTTGTAATTAGTGTATATAGTTAAAGAATAGGAACTATAAAATCAGACTAATAACTACACTCTCAAAGTCATATTTGTAATTAGTGTATATAGTTAAAGAATAGGAACTACAAAATCAGACTAATAACTACACTCAAAGTCATATTGAGAAGCCAGTGCTTCATAAGCCTGCGAAGCCATCTATCATTGGTTCATCACTGTTTGCCTTAAAAATTCATATCTAATGGGAAATGAAGAAAAGAAAATTGCGTTAAATATTAATTTTAGATTTCATATAAATGAAGAAAAGAAAATTGCCCTTAAAAATTCATATCTAATGGGAAATGAAGAAAAGAAAATTGTGTTAAATATTAATTTTAGATTTCTATGTGTATATAGTGGTAGTTTGAGTCTTTTGAGGTTTGCATATTAATGATTTATAGTTAGTGGAGGGAAGTTCTTGACTATTAAGATTGTGCTCATCTAAAATACTAAAAAATTAAATATTTGTTCAAAATTATGAATATATGTGTAAAAATATAAGGATTAAAGTTGAGGATAAAAAATATCTTTTAATATTTATTTTTAAACTTTATAAAGGGATTTGTAGATAAGAGTGAAATAAAATAAACAACATTTATTATATATGCTGACTGAACACAAAAAATAAATGAAAAATACAAATATTTACTCCACTTTCTTTAATTTTGGTACGATATATAAAGTAAATATATATATATATATATATATATATGNGACGTTTAAAGTAAAAGTATACATATACTATTCATAAAACGAGTCATTATGACTAAAGATAATAAGATTTAGAAATTAGGAGCAAGAATCAATAATTCAAAAACTGTAGAAGTTAATATATTAAAATTCATAAATATCCAAATAAATAAGATTTTGAAAATAAAGTGTAATTTTTCAAAAATAAAACAATAAAAATAAGAAAAAATGTCCAATCACAACACTTTCAGATGTTTCAAATCACTGTATTTCTATTATAAATTCAGAAGGCCCAATCTAATTGACAACATTATCTATGCGTACAGCACAAATTTGAGGCCCAAGTCCACAACAGCAAATCCCTACCTGCAACAAATCCCACCGGCCAACAGACCGCCGTTCGCCCACCAACAATGGCCTCCCATTTACCTCGCACCATCCGAACCCCTCTCCTCCACCGTCTCTCTCTACGCCGCCTCTCCACCACCACCACCACCAATCTTCCCCACTCCACACCGACGGCGCCGTTCGATCCTCCTCCGCCTCCTTCACCACCCAAACCACCTCCAAATCCTCCCTCACGGACCCCTCTAGAGAAACAGTTCGAGACATGGCTCCAAAGTCTAAAGCCTGGCTTCACTGGACAAGACGTCGAGGACGCCCTGCGGGCCCAATCCGACCCGGACCTCGCCCTCGACATCTTCCGGTGGACCGCCCAGCAGCGCCATTACAAGCACAACCACTCCACCTACCTCACAATGATCGAGATCGCGGTTTCCGGCAAGCGTTACCGCGCTGCCGAGACCCTGATCGAGGAAATCATCGCCGGCGCCTGCCCCGCGAGCCTCTCCCTGTTCAACACCATGATCAAATTCTGCTGTGGCCGTAAAAACCTATTCAGCCGCTCATTCGATATCTACAAGAAGATGACGAAATCGCAGGACGCCAAACCTAATCTGGAAACCTACGCGCTGCTCCTCAACTCGCTCCTGAGGAAATTCGATAAATTGAACGTGTGTTATGTGTATTTGCCTGCAGTCAAATCATTAGCGAAGCAGATGAAGGCTTCCGGGGTGATTCCAGATACGTTCGTGCTGAACATGATCATCAAAGCCTACTCCAAGTGCCTCGAAGTTGATGAGGCTGTTCGTGTTTTTCGCGAGATGGGATTGTACGGCTGTGAGCCGAATGGGTACACATACAGTTATCTGGCAAAAGGGTTTTGTGAGAAGGGTAGGGTTAGTCAAGGGCTGGATTTTTACCGGGAAATGAGAGGAAAAGGTTTGGTGCCCAGAGGGAGTTCTTCTTCGATCTTGATTTGCAGTCTTGCGATGGAGAGGATGTTTGACGATGCAATTGAGATCACATATGACATGTTCGGAAATTCGATGTCGCCTGATTTGTTGACCTATAAGACGTTGTTGGGGGAAATTTGTAGGGATGGTAGGGGAAATGAAGCTTTCGAGCTTCTTGAAAAGTTCAGGAAAAGGGACAGCTATATGAATGAGAAGACGTATAAGACTTTGTTGGACGGGCTGCACTTTCTGAGTCGTGATCTCTAGTTTTATGTGGTTTCTTCATATGGTGTTTGGCAGTTACCTGATTCTAATTGTATGAGATGAAGCTCAGTGCTTTATGAATGGGGCAAATGGTTTTCGCCCTTATGTTTAAAATACACATCTGGAAAATGTTGTGTGGACCTCTCTATAACTTATTTCTGCATTCTGGTGGTATTTCTTGGCAAATTGGCAATTGGCAATCGGCGTATTGGTTTTCCTGTGACTGTGATCAATGCAGACACAGACCAAGATTTTTATCAGATATTCTTATTTATATGAGGCCTTTTAGGGCGACGTTATCTCTGTGCAGCCAATATACACAGGTTTTTTTCTTGTTCCAGGGAGCAATCATCTTCAAGTTATTCCCATTGCAAGGTATCGGGTGGCTTATCATGTATTTGATCAGTGGATTTATAATTTTTCTATATTAGCCCACTTTCTTGTGGAGCATTGTGTAAAGTCGAATGCATATTCTTGCTGTTTAAAGAGCATGGTTGTGAGAAGTTTGTAATGATGGTTATTTTTATTTTGTTTTTCGGGACTTTGATCATATTAGCATGCCTATTTACATGTACTGCAGCAAATGATTAGGCAAATACCAGCTATAGCATGAATCTTACATGAATGAAGCTTGAGATGTAAAGTGGATTTCTTTTGCTCATTACACTCAGTTCACCCTATGTATGTTTCAGAAACTCAATGGTCAAATGGCTAATCATCACTACATTATTCCAAAAAAAAAAAAAGAAAAAAGAAAAAAGTTTAATGTGATACAGAAATATCCTAGACCTCATCTACAACAACGTGACAGTAAAATATCAATAATGCCGTCTGAGAATTACAAAAAGAAACCCCTGGAAATAAGAAAGCCATACACTATAGATCCGACGGGATTTTTCCCCAGAAACAGCGTACAAAACTATTTAATGAAATGAATCACTCAATTCTGTTTCGGCATAGATATGAGCTTTTTTCGTATGGGTTTTCATTTCATATCAGAGCTAGCTGAGCTGGTGCCTTTATTCGTATTACTATTGAAGAAACTATTTGACATTGTAGAAGATGATTCCTCTGTAGCTTCCCATCTTTGCAACACTTGTGGGAGGCCAATGTTTATATCAAACCCCAGGCTGTCCTCATCTTCCTCATCGGCAGCCGGTTTCCATGTCCCCACAAGAGGCGAGAGCACGCTGACAGCATGGCTCATATCGGGCCTTTGATAGGACTCTCGGGCCGTGCAGTGGCCCGCTAGCTCTGCCACCTTCAAAATGCTTGAGAAATTCTCCTCGTCAAGGAGGGAAAGGAGGACAGGGTCGAGGGCCGACCGTATGGCATCTTTGTCGGGTATCATTCGGCGGAACCATGTGACGAGGTGGCTTTGTTCGTCTGGCAACGAGTCGTCTAGGGCTTTTCGGCCCGTGATGATCTCCATGAGGATGACCCCGAAAGCATACACGTCTACTTTCGTGGTAACTCTTCCTGTCGCTGCATTATTTTTTTTTTCGAGGTTTTGAAAATGATTAATTAGTTAGTAGTTACCTAGCAATTTCACTTTTCAGCATGAGTGATCTATCATTAGCTGCAATTTTTTGAGGTTTTTGGAGAAAAAGGCAAGATCTTGCACTTGCAAGTTATTTGACTATAAAAATTCTATGGAGCTTTTTTTTATGGAGCCATCCACCACTTAATGTATTGACACCTGTCCTAAGTGTATTTATTGTAAAACAAGTGTCAATGCACTATTGGTGAATAAGTGTGGATAAATTCATAAGTCGAGCCATCCGATGGCTCCATAGTAAAACTGGATTTGACTAACCTTTATTTTTTTTTTTATTTTTTTTAAAAAACATGTTCTTAATTTATGGGAGCTTGCAAATTCTTAATACAGAAAGGAAAGATGATTTACCTGCATATTCCGGTGCAAGATAACCGAACGTCCCGGCTAACCGCGTCTCGACTGAGTAATTCCCTTCCGGAGCCGACCGAACCAGCCCGAAATCCGCAACCTTTCCCCTCATATCTTCCCCGAGCAAAATATTCGACGGCTTCAAGTCCCTGTGTATGAAGCTCTGCTGGGCCAGGCTGTGCAGGTACTCAACCCCCCTCGCAACATCCAAAGCTATCATCACTCTCTGGTTCCAGTCGAGTGGCGGCACCTTCATATCCTTCCATTGGAACAAATGCTGCCCCAAACTCCCTTGAGGCATGCACTCGTACACCAGAAGCCTCTCACTCCCGTTATCGCAAAACCCGTGCAGGGCGACCAAATGCCGGTGCCTCACCTTTGTGAGGACCTCAATCTCGGCTTTGAACTCATGCAAGCCCTTGTCGCTAAGCATGGAGGACTCCATTCGCTTGACTGCAATCAACGTGCCGTCATGAAGCTTCCCACGGTACACTATTCCGAACCCACCTTTCCCGAGCACGGCCCTCTCGTCGAAGTTGTTTGTGGCCTCCCGTAGAGCCTCGAACGGGATGTTTATGTTCCCGTTTTCATGTATGTGGTACTCGCTCGTTCGAATTGGGGTCTCGGCAGTGTTGCTAGAGGATTCGGATTTGGATTTCGACTTGGACTTTGAGAAGAGGCTTTTGATCATATCCTTTTCGTGGTCCTCGTTGTTGCCTATTATTATCTGCTTCTCGCTTTTTTTCCCGCTCTTCTCGCTCACCCACGCGTATTTGTTCTGTCTCTTGTTCATATACCGTTTGTAGAAAACGGCGCACACGACCGAGAGTATGATGACAAAGACAACAATCGGGACCACTATCACCCACGGAGAAACTTTCGAGTCGAACCCTCGACTTTCTCCATCCGTGTCGGGCTCGAATCCTGGCGGGTAAGCAATCGACACGTCCTTCCCGATGTACACATTCCCCGAGACCTTAATCGTCACTGTCGATGCAAAAGCCGGGATTTTCCCGGAGATGTTGTTGTTTGATAAGTCGAGCATCTGGAGCTGGGTTAGCGTCGTGAGGCTTTGGGGTATCGTCCCGAACAGATTGTTATCGTTCAGAAACAGCGATTTCAAACTCGTCAGGTTCGCGTAGGATGGCGAAATCATGCCCGTCCAGTTCTGTTTCCCGAGGTTCACTACAGTCACACTCCCCTTCTCGCACGTCACGAAATTCCACTGCTTGCACGCATCGTTGCCCTTCCACGAATCGGCTAAAGCAGACGGGTAGTTAATATCACTGGCTGCCTCGAGTAAGGCTGTCACCTGAGGGTCGCACGGGCCTGGCGACGTTAAGCAGAAGTTGTTAGTCGTCCCAAGGCTAACTTGGGCCGCCGGCGGGAATTCAGGCATTGGGCCTTGGAACTTATTGTTCTGCAGGCCCACTGTGTGGAGATTCGGGAGCTTCGTGAGTGAATCGGGAATAACGCCCGTTAGTGTATTGTCACGCAGCTGGAGATCGGTTAACTCGGTGCAGGCCGAGAGATCCGGGATCGGGCCCGAAAACCGGTTCGCGTGGAGCCAGACAGTTTGTAGCTGGGTCATGGACCTTAGGACATAAAGTGGGCCCGAAAGGCCCGTCATCTGGTTGTTGAGCCATAATGTCTGAATTCCCGATTTTGAAAACGAGGTTGGTAATTGGCCCGTCAGGTTGTTGTACGACAGGCGGAGGGTCTGGAAATTCGGGAGGGAGGCGAAGAAGTCGGGGATCTGGCCGGCGACGTTCGCCTTGCTGGCGATGAAGGTGGTGAGGGAGGATGAGTTGGCGAGGGATTCGGGGAGTGTCCAGGCTGGCAGGTCGGTGTTGTTCTGGATGCTGAATGTTTGTAGGGCCGTGAGGCCCGAGAGGAAGCCCGGTGGGAAGGAGTCGAAGTTGTTTTCATCGAGGTAGGCTTCTTGGAGGGAAGGGAGGTTGGAGAGGGGTGGGAGAGGGCCGGAGAGCTTGTTGCGCTGGAGGCTGAGGGTTTCGAGGGCTGAGAGCTGGGAAAGATCGGAGGGTATTGTGCCGGTTAGGGATTTGGAGGAGAGGTTGATGGAGGTGACGCGGCCGGAGGAGGAGTCGCAATGGATGCCGGGCCAGTTGCAGAAATTCGGGCCCGTCCAGCCCGAAGGGAGGGGGCTGATGGACTTGGCTAGTTGGGCCATGACAGCAGCATCATCGGCGGTAGCAAGGTGGAAGGAGAATAATGTGAGGAGGAGGAAGAGGAGAAGAGAGAGAAACTGGTGTCTCTCTGAATGCATGGTGGTGTGTGGTGTGGTGGTTTTTTTCTTTTTTTGGTTATTTTTGTTTTTATTTTCCGGTGACGGTGGGGCTAGGTGGTGTGTTCTTTTAACCGTTGTTATTTTTTTTTGTTCCCGGTGGCGGTGGTGGTGGTGTTGGGTGGTTTGGGTCACCGTCTGAGATTTGAGAGGAAAGAGAGAAGGAATGAAATTTGAGGGAGGAACAAGAAATGCGGGCGGGTGAGACGGTTGAAAGCTAAAACGCAGTTGATTAATGATTATTAACCATAAGAGTGTTATTTCTTTTTCTTTTTTTATTTGTGTAAATTTTTTATGAAAATTAAATTAGTAGTTAGTGTCAAAATGAAGTCGTGGGCGAGTTAATTCATTGTTTGGATAAATTTTCTTAATTTAGTGGAACACATTGTCAACCTATCTTAATTTTTTTTTAATAAAAATCTAGAATATAACTTTTAATTGTGCAATTAATAATAACATCATGTTAAGGTTATATAGACTTTCTTACTTAANAAAATTAACTATTTGTTATAAATATCGCTTTAAGATAATATAAAAAATATATATTTTTATTGTCACGTCTAAGACTGCCGAGTCGAGCCGAGCATTGGCCTTATACAGCGATTCAGCAAGATTGATTTTTTTTTTCACCTGCTTGAGTTCGAGCTCGACTCGAATTTCAAGTAAAATTATCATTAAATATATTTATAAAATATTATAACAATTATATATATGAAGAATATTTATATATGAGGGTATTTTAGAAATTTATTACAATCTCAAGCTGCTCGACCTTTTAAAACCTATGCTCAAGATCGACACGATAACATACTCGAATCGCTCAAGGCCGATTCGAGTTCGATCAAACTCTCCAGCCGACCTTGACCCGTTTGTAACATATTTCAATTTATCCATATAAAAATTATTCTTTTTAGGTAAATATAAATTCTAACCCGTCAACTTATTTATTTACCATGTTTTTGTTTGCTCCCCCGTGCAGCTCCAAAATCGAATACAACTGACTCTGGCTTATGGCCATGGATTCCAACGGAGTAGTGGAGACGGCGGCCGATATCCGCCGAGATATCGCTTCGTTGGAGAAGGCCAAGGCCCAAATCGAGGATCGCATATCAGCTCTGCGAGCAAGGCTCAGTAGTCCTAGCTCGGAGAATGGAAGCGAGGCGGCGGATTCCCCGGCCCCGCGTCCCACCGGAACGCCTTCCGGCGGCCAATTGTCGGCTGATATTATCCACAGGTACAGCCGCCACCTGATACTCCAGTCGTTTGGGGTTGATGCTCAGGCGAATTTGTTGAAGTCCTCGGTGTTGGTTATTGGGGCCGGCGGCTTGGGCGCTCCTGCTCTGCTTTACCTGGCGGCTTGCGGTGTAGGTATGTGAATTATTCTGAAGGTAATGCTAGGTTTGGAACTTTTTTCGCTTGTTATTGTTGGGGAGAGATTGGTGAATGTTGTGAACTGGCGCATGATTTCAGGGCGTGTGGGTATTGTTGATGATGATGTAGTGGAGCTTAACAATTTACACAGGCAGGTAAATTGGAAACATAAAATCTGAGTTTTTTTTCCCTTTTTTGGTTTGGTTGAATAGCCTAATTATTCCCAGTTAAGATTAAGTACGAAATAAATGGGAATGAAGCAAGCTCGAGAAAACGTAGTTTGATAGTTCAGATGATGGATGATGGAAAAAAGCCAGTGGAGAACTAGAAATGATGTGAAGATGTTGAACTCAACAATTCCAACTTCCATGTCCTAAAATTTGTTATGTGGTGCATCTAATCTCATGTGTTTTGTGCTCTAATTCCCCATCGTTATTTATAGTGTTATATTATTTATTTGAATTGAAGAAGACAAATGCTGGTGAATATAAGCATCAGAAGGACTTTTGATGCAATGAAGATTCTTCTTCATTCTTGCTTCTCTTTTTTGTTTTAAAGCTTGCACTACAACTCTTAGAGATTCTTACATGTTTTTATGCTTTGATGATGTTAGGTTGTACTATAGTGTATGGTAATACAGAAGATTGTACCATTTGCTAATACCTTTGAGTAATATCATTTGATCTCGACCAATTCTTGAAATGGTTTTCTAGGTAATCCATACTGAAGCATATATTGGAAGATCGAAAGTAGAGTCTGCTGCTGCTTCATGTCACGCGTATGCTTCTTGTGAATTTTCTCTTAGTATTCTTTTTTAATTGAATTCAATACTGTGGCAACAGAAAATAGTATATGTGCTCATGTTATTTAGAAGTGCCAATTTCAATGTACTGTCTCACCCTGTCGTAACCTTTTAGTTTGTCATAATACTTTCTCTTCAGGATTAATTCTACTGTTCAAGTAGTGGAGCACAAGGAAGCATTCCGTACATCCAATGCCTTGGAGATTATGCGAGAGTATATATCCTCTCTTCATTGTCCTGTAGTACCTAATCTTTGTGATTGACATCAGACTGAAATTCTCTATTTGGGACTGTTTATGTGTTCCAGGTATGATATTGTTGTAGATGCAACAGACAATGTACCTAGTCGTTACATGATCAGTGATTGCTGCGTTGTCTTGGGAAAGGTAAGGAGTTGTTTGCTATAGCTTTGCCTGGGAGAATTAATTTTACATAAAAAAGATTGATATGAAAGGATTGATTTTCAGTCATTATGCATATCCTTTTTCTAAAAAAATTATTTTGACATAGTTCATCGAATTTTTTATTTAAAGGGTACTTTTGTTGTTCCATTTTATCTGAAAATCATTTTTTTGTGCTAGTTCATCTTCAGTATAAGCTTGGCTTTTCCCAAAACATTTATTGTATGTAAACTTTATTTCTACCAATTCTGCATTTTTTTCATTCCTGCAGCCTCTAATTTCTGGAGCTGCACTGGGGCTGGAGGGACAGGTATACTTCAATGGCAACACATTATTGCATGGTTATGAATGCCAAATCCATGTGCTAATTCTAGTTGTAGTGCACTGTGCACTTCACCTTATTAGCTATATTATTAATCCATCATCTTTTACTTCTTTAGCTCACTGTTTACAATTATAATGGAGGTCCATGCTATCGATGCCTATTTCCAACTCCGCCACCTACAACGGCATGTCAGAGATGTGCAGACAGTGGAGTTCTTGGAGTAGGTATATTGAACGTGTTTCTGTTTCTACTTATGGTCTCAGAATCATTTGAGGAATTTAAGTTTAATCAGTCATTTTACCTTTCTAGATAAATTATGGTCAAGCATTGTGATTTTATTTGTCATTACTTTTTCCATTCATTTATACCTATATAATTATCATTGTTTTTCTATTTGTTTGGAGGTTTGGGGATTTGTTTGTTACAATTACGTTCTTAGGAGTGAGGACAGAACATATTAAATATATGAAAATAAGGTGCCCAATGGACTAATGGCTGGAATTCTTTCCTATTGAATGCTAAACGTGCCACAACTGTAACTGCTCGTAGAATCTCAATATCCTGTGCCCACGTTTGGAATTGGAAGGCATTTTAACTTTGTCTTCATATTCTCACGTTTGTATTTGAAATGCAGTTCCCGGCATTATCGGGTGTCTCCAGGCATTGGAAGCTATAAAAGTTGCAGGTGCGGTTGGAGAACCACTTTCAGGAAGAATGCTTCTGTTGGATGCACTGTCTGCTAGAATTCGTGTTGTGAGTTTATCTCTTGTTAATGCCTTATTCCTTAAGAAATTCCTATCCACTAATTGTCAGCATAAAGAGCATGTATAATCATTTACATTTTAGTGATTCTCGTGAAATACCCTCTATAGGAAAACATGCAGCAAGTTAGTTTACTTTATAGGGATGCCAGATTATTTTGAAGTAAAATACATTTCGAATCAAAATGTATTGTTTTGGGCATGAGGACTATTTTGATAAGGACTCATGAATTGTTTATTTAGTCTGTTGAAAACTTTGACTTTGACTAATCAGGAATGCTCCTTGCTTGCTTGATTTTAATACGAGCTTGGTAAAGCCAAGTAATTGTGAGCTAATATGTATCATGATTCATGAGAACTGGTTTAATTACTATCTGATTTTATTTAACAATCTATGCCAGTAAATCTTTGAGTATCGTGATTTTTATGTTTCTTCCAACTTATCGTAGGTTAAAATCAGAGGGAGGTCATTACAGTGTGAAGCATGTGGAGAAAATGGGACGATGACGCAAGAGCACTTTCGAACATTCGACTATGAAAAATTTACTCAATCTCCATTATCCACGGTGCACATATTACATATCTTCTTCGTTAATTTCTCATTTTTCTTGTGTAGTTCGAATTATGTAACACTTTTCATGCATAATTGCCAGTCTCCAATGAAGCTAAATCTGCTCCCATTAGAGGATAGAATAACGAGCAAGGAGTACAATGAGAAACATTCGAAAGGCGAGCCACATGTTTTGGTCGATGTTCGGCCCTCTCATCACTACCAAATCACTTCACTCCCGAACTCACTAAACATCCCTTTAGCAAATCTAAAAGAGAGAATATCCGAAATATCGGTAGCCTTGGCAAAGGAGAAAGAGAAGAACAAGATTGGTGATAGCAATCGAGAAGCCTCTCTGTACGTGATTTGCCGAAGGGGAAATGATTCGCAGATGGCCGTTGAGTTACTTCGTGAGGTGGGGTTCGGTTTGGCTAAGGATATTGTTGGAGGGCTCGAGTCGTGGGCCCACGATGTGGACCCACAATTCCCAACGTACTAATGATGAATTACATTGATCGTCGGGTGAT